TCAAAAACTAAAAAAAAAAAAAAAACTAAAACAAGCGCACGCTCAAAAGTCACTCAAAGCCCCTGCGCCGCAGTCTACGCGCTGTCGGCAGCGACAGCGACTGCGGTTGCTCTCTCTCTCTCACCACCACCACTAACCACTTGCGCTCAACGCGAAACGCAACTCACTCGAACAGCGTCGTGACGTCAGCTGCTGGCAGAAAAAGCTTTTTATTTCGGTTTGCCGCTCACTCGCGAATATTCTAATAAGCATTTCAATTCATTTCGTTTTCAAACGCGCAACGCAACGCAACGCAAACGCTTGCCACAAACCGGAGCTCGCGGCGCATTAGCTTCAAAATTTTTGAACAGAAATATTATCATAACAGTTGTGTTGTTTGTTGTTTGCTGTGTTGTCTCAATATTATATTTCTATGTGTGAATATGCAATTGGTGCGTGTTATTTAAAGTGAAAAGTGCATAAAATAAATCGCAAACAATTTAATTGAATAATTATCGATAGAAGCAAATTTAAACAAAAAAGAGAAAGAAATAAAAACACGCTGCTACAACAAAAAAAAAAAAAACGTGAAGAAAACGTAAATCAAAGCAAATTATCGCGGGTGCGTCGTCTTCGCTTGTTTTTTTTTTTCGAAAAAAAAAAACGGTAATTGCTGCTTGATATTGTACACTCCACCCACCGCCCCTCTCATAATCACGCTGCCTTTGCAATGCTTTTGCTGCTTCTACACGGAATCCATATTTGTTTTTGCGTTTTGGACATTACCACGCACACACACACACACACACATGCATAGGCACAGCTGCTAAGTTACACTTGTTTGAGCTTTGCTTTGCAAAGACTTTCTGCTCGTCTAGTTGTTGCTGTTGTTGTTGTTTTTCTCTTTTTTCGCTGCGGCTGCTGCTGCGACTTCGGCTGTAGAAAGAAATGAAAAAACAACGATTTTCACTTTTGTTTGAGACCAGTCGTAAGTCTGTCTAGGCCAGCAGGCACGCCATAGACCGATACACCTGTTTGCGTGTCTCTCTCACTCTATCTATATAAGTGTGCGAGTGTATGCATGTATGTATGTATGTGTGTGTGTGTGTGTGTGTGTGTATTTGTCGCTATGCAATCCAATTGCAGCCAAAACAACATAATCATCATCATGATCAGCATCATTAACGTGTTAAGACATAATGAAGTTGAAACATTCATAATAATAATGAGCAGCAAAAAAAAAAAAAAAAAAAAAGTGCCAAGAAGAAATTGGTGAAAATTGCAGCGTACATTTATTACACACACACGCACATTTATACATATACGTATTAAAGGTTCAGCGTATACGCTGCAAATATATATTGTGAAATTCGCAGCAAAAAAAAAAAAAAAAAAAAAAAAAAAAAAAAAAAAAAACTAAGTGGTAAATGCCAAATAGCAAAAATAGTTTTTTTTCCGTTGCCTTTTATCACAGCTAATTAAAATTTTTTTATATAGACACCGCTCTTATCTGGCATGCAAAAGTATATTAAATGTGTCAAAAAAATGGGGAAAAAAATATAAATTGCATAAAAATGTTTATATAGAAAAAAAAAAAAAAATGTTAAAAAAGTGAAAAAGTGTTAATTTAATTTGAAAAATTTATGCATACATATATAGCAAAAGAAAGTAAAACTCAGACAAGAAGTTACGAAAGAAATTCAAATGGAAAAGTGTAAAAAAAAAGAGTAGCAGAAAATAATTTATGTGTTTGTGTCTCATGAAAATGCAATAAACAATTAAAAAATTAACAATTAAATAGTAAAATAGTAAATTGCAAGCCAGACAGCAATTAATAAATAAATAATTGCCCACAAATAGAAGGGAGGAGAGTGATAGACAGAGAGAGGAGAGAAAGAGATGTTACTTAACACTCCATAACAAAGATGATAAAGTAAACACTATGCTACACAAATCAAATAAAATGATATGTGCATATATGTTGTATTTGAGTAAAGCGAGAAACCTTGAATAGTCCAAATAATATCACGCAAAATTTAATGTTTATACGTTGTCTCTCACCATCATCATGACGAAGACAACAGCGCTAGAAAAGTGTCTCAGCAAGAACCTAATTAGGTATTTAATGAACGTACTTGCTGTGCTGCTCGAATCTCTTAAAGAAATCACTAAAAAAAAAAAAAAAAAAAACAATTTCAGATCGTTTCACAGCCATAAAACAACAATAACTGCAAAAATTTCTAGATTATGTGATCTAAGTTAATTAGTGAATCTGTTGAATTAAACATGCGATGCGTCATCTAATTTSCTATTGTTGCTGTTGCTGTTGCTGTTGCTATTTGCCCTTTCGGGTTTAGCTGCATTCAAGTCGAGGCTATATATACATATATAAAGATACTCTATATGAAGTGCAATCAAGTTGTAGATAAAACCAAGTTTACGATCTAACGAATTAGCTGGAATGTTGCAGATGAATCTCATTAGCAGCTTATAAAGCTGATAAGCAGAACGGAAGTAATAAAAACAAAGAGCACTGAGCATCATGATAAAATAGAAAGCTAAGGAAGTGATAAAACCAAGCAGAAGAAGAAGAAGAAGTCAAAGACAATAGAAAAATAAAAACAAGGTCAACTTGTTGTAAATAGTCTGATAAGAGAAATAAGTGAAAACATGTTACGGACAGTAGTGACTGCCTCATACGCGTTCAGCTGGAATACCTGGAGCGAAACCTAAGGGAAAAGATAGAAATTATCAAGTTTATAATATCAATGGAGCACACTATATTCTAGATGCCCTCGTCCACCTCGAGCTAAAGTATATCTAGCTTACATATTTTTCTGTCGGCTGTGGTCTACTCGGGAATATCTTCGAATATCAAAGTTCCTAATTTCAATGGAATTTAGGATAATATCGATTAGACTCTTCCCTAGTTTTCCCATCTCGAGTTACTTATTCAATGAATACTGGTTAACAAATAATTGAACAGGAAGATGGACATTGAGCGAAGCCAATATACCCCATTTATTATTTCAATGAGTATACAGATAGCAGAAGAAAACTAAATGAAATGATAAAACTAATTTCCCAATAAGTGTTTTCTAATCAAGGTTATTAGTGTTATATGTACGTGTAAGCTCGTCAGTTATATATTATATTTTCACGAGATATATATGTGTGTGTATCTGTATGTGTATGTATATATCTATATATATTGTGAATCATTCGCACGCAAGAATCTATTTGAATTGGTTTATGGATGTTGGCATATTTGCACGCAGCGAAACGCACAGCATATCAGATATACACACACACCCCTAGATACACACACACACGCACACACAGTGAGGCTCTTGGGCAGCCTTTCGTATGCTCGGCCAGCAGCGAGATATGCTAGAATTTTTAATATATATAAATTTGTTCGTTTTTGATAAAATAGGCACGCAAATGCAAATAGCAACAAAGAAAGAAAGAAGAACAAAAAGAAACAAAAAAGTAGATAGAAACGAAAAACGATAAAGATAGAGAAATATAATACAGAGAGAGAGAAGGAGACATAAATGGCATGGCAATAGGCCCATGCCCAGACCCAGACCCAGGCCAAGACCGAGACCGAGACCCATATGCCGATAGGCGGAGGAGGCGGGCACAAAGCATCGATAACAATGCGGAAATTTGAAAAACCAAAAGGAAAAACCAAAAGATTTTCAAATCGAAAAGCAAAGATAGCAAAAGAAAACATATGTGGCCCAGAGACAACCGAGAGAGAAACGCTAAACGCGCTGAGGCTGTCGCACAATAATAATAAACAAATAAATTAACAAAAGAAAAAAAAAGAAATAAACAAATTTAATGTGTGTGTGGGAATACAAATTAAGCAAATATCTATGTATGAATGTGTGTGTGTGTCTGTCTGTGTGGGTGGGTTAGCGGGGCAGCAGGTAGAAGGCCTGTCCCTCACAGACAGGCACACACACAAACACACCCAGCGCTCAAATTGAGCAAATTTAACGCAAATTAATTAATTACAAAATAACAAAAATTGTTCCCCTTTGGGGAGCCATAAAAAATATTCCGGCCGCAATAAAATGTACAAAATAAAAACCAATACTAAAGCAAGAATACATGAATTAGAAAGAACTTGACTTGTGATGATAAAAGCTTGAAAAGTGATTTAAAGCAACGCCAAGCGACGATTCTCAATATGAGCGGCATGAGAATTGAAATGAATTTGGTTTAGTTGAAAGCCACAAATATTAAGATAATCATCTCCAAGTGATTTAGAGCTTTGGTCTGAGTGCTAGAAACTGATTTATACCCAAGATATTATGCTTTATAAACTATGAATTAGCATAATATTTACCACAAATTGTTAATTCAGCTTTGGAGCAACTCTAAGAAGCCTCTAGGGCCTGCCTTTTACCTTCTAATCAAGTGAAAATGAAAATTAAATATCATCTTGAATGCAGCTTTGAAAGCATCTAAGTACTTTTTAAGGAGCTTTATTGCCATTTGATAGTTTACAGACCATGAAACGCGATTAGACCAGTCGTAAGTGTTGTTAAACGTGGAAAATTGTTTGCTGTTTTTCTTAAAGAGCTTTGCAAGCAGTTGTGCAAGCTTTTAAGGTAACTTTCTTGAATATTTTTAAAGAACATTGAAATGAACAATGAGCTAAGTCATATTTGTTAAGTCTAAGAACCTAATTGAAACTTTAAGCTAACAGCTCAAAGACACATGTAATAGCTTTTATGGAGCTTTTACTAAAACTCTAAATTCGTTTTGGGAAACTTCACATTTTAAGTAAACATTATATATATTCCCAATGAGCTTCGTTATGTGCTAAAGCTTTGCCGACATCTTTGCAAGCTCATTAAAGCTTTTAGCAAAAGCTCCCGCGACACCAATTCATGCAATTTTCATCAACTTTGCTAATTTGTTCAGCTAAAAACTAATTCATATCTAAATAGATAACTCTCTTATCGTACAGCAACTAATTAAAGCTCTTCCTCTTCCCATTTTAGTGCGGGACACTAGACGGAGCCGCCGAACCACTATTTCATCAGCAGCGCAACAACAGAATGGACGTCTATCAGATCGACGATGGTTTCCACTCGGATGGAGGCACCGAAACGCCGCCTCCATCGCCCAGTTCGGGCTCATCGATAGCCTCGACATCGGACCACGGTTCGCTGGAGAGCGTCGATACGGGCGGAACACAGAGGCTGGCGGTGCTATCATTTGAGCAGGTGCGCAAGCTGCACTCTGTCATGGACGAGAAGGTGGCCATACATGGACGTGGTAATTTTCCAACACTGGAGGTGACACTGAAGGATCTGGTCAATTCGGTGCGTCGCAAGTTGGAGGCGGATGCGAATAGCGGCGGTGCCGGTGTCCTGGTGAAGGACATTCGCCTAAATGGCGGCGCAGCTAGTCATGTGCTGGCCAGCGAGGATCAGCCATACAATGATCTTGATCTGATCTTTGCCATCGAGCTGAGCTCACCGCGTGTCTTCGATCGCGTTAAGACCGCCGTGCTGAACACTCTGCTCGACCTGATGCCCGAGGGCGTCTGCAAGCGCCGCATCTACACATGCAGCCTGAAGGAGGCCTACGTTGGCAAAATGGTTAAGGTCAATAATAACAATGACGGCGATCGCTGGTCGCTCATCTCGCTGGGCAATTCGCCGGGTCACAAGAATGTCGAGCTCAAATTCGTCGACACGATGCGTCGCCAGTTCGAGTTCTCTGTGGACTCATTCCAAATCGTATTGGACTCGCTGCTGCTGTTCTACGACTGTGCCGCGTTGCCCATCTCGGAGAACTTCTATCCGACGGTGGTGGGCGAGTCGGTCTACGGCGATTTCCAGGAGGCCCTATATCACTTGCAAAAGAAACTGATCTCAACGCGACAGCCGGAGGAGATACGCGGCGGTGGTCTATTGAAATACTGTAATCTGTTGGTACGCAAATACACGGCTGTTGACTCGCAGCTGATCAAGACGCTGGAGCGGTATATGTGCTCGCGCTTCTTTATCGATTTCCCCGACATCAATACGCAGACAACGAAGCTGGAGGCCTATTTGCGCAATCATTTCTGGGGCATCGAGGAGGAGCCGCTCCAGTATGAGTACCTAATGTATTTATATAATGTTGTTGAAATGTCCACCGTCTGCCTGATGGGGCACGAGCGTCGTCAGACACTGTCGCTGATCCTGTCGCTGGCCAATCAGGTGAAGCAACAGCAGGAGCATCAGTATCATCAGCAGCAGCAGCAACAGCAACAGCAGCAGCAGCAGCAGCAGCATCATCATCACCAGCAACAGCAGCAGCAACAGCAGCATCATCACCAGCAACAGCAGCATCATCACCAACATCATCATCATCACCAGCAGCAGCAGCAGCAGCAGCAACAGCATGTAGCATACCTGCAACAGCAGCAACAGCAACAGCAGCAGCACCAGCAACAACAGTTGGAGTCGCAGCAAACGCAAGCGTCACCCGTGTTGGCGCTGGTCGCGGCAGCGCCGTCGCAGCAGGCGCCGCAAACGCCAACGATCTATATGCAACAGGCAGCGCCGGCAGCAGCCGCCATCTGCTGCAGCACCACGGCGGCGGGTGCCGCCGGTGCCCCAACAGCGGTGGCAACGGCAGCAGCGCCGGTGGCGGCAACGGCTGCCAATGCGGCAGCAACTGTTGCCGATGCCCAGCAACAGACGCAGACAATTCAGATACAGGCGGGTCCGCCGGGCTTGATCTATGCCAATGGCGTTTACTATGCACCTGTGATACCCAGCACCATTTGCACATGCAATTCGACCTGGTTGAGCACGTGATTGGAAGAGCAGCAGCAGCAGCAACTCGAACCACAACAGCAGCAGCAACAACAACAACAGCAACACTTTAACAATAGCAACAACTATAGCGGAGCAGAGCAGGAGGGCAGCTTGGTGCTAATGCAGCAGCAGATCAATCATATGCCAGTTTACAAGCTGCAGCAGCAACAGTTGAGTAGGAAGCAGCAGAAGAAGCAGCAGAGGAAGCAGCAGCAACAGCAGCAGAGGCAGGAGCAGCAGCAGCAGCAACAACAGCAACAGCAACAGCAACAACAACAACAACAATTGGTGCTGGATTCGTATAGCGGACAATTTGCATATTTCTATCCGCGCGATGGTTCAGCGCCCAGTTTGTTGTTGCTTGGGGAGGATACATATTTGAATGTGACTACGGCACAGCAGCAATATATCTAAAGGCAGTAGCAGATCAGGCAGATATATCTCTCTATATATACAGAGAGAGAGAGATATATATATATGCGTCTATATATATGAATATGAATTGTATTTAGATTTTGGCAGTAGGACTTTCTCCGTCTAACTCTCTACAAACGAATTGTTGCTGCAAATATGTTGAGCTTGATGTTAATTGATGTAGCCACACACACAGACACTCACACCCACACACTCACGCATAATCACATAGATTTGACTGAAGAGCCGCTGTTTAGGACGTTCGCTGGTTCAATGGGCAAAAAATAAAAAAGAAGAAAAAACATTGCCCATACATAAGGACATGCCACACACACTCACACACCTACACCCATACTCACACACACACACACACACACATCCTAGTTAAACGAACCAGACAAATAGCCATTATTTTCTTTAAACAAATTTTTTTTGTCTTTTAGCGTCGCTCAAAAAAATTTCCTTGTATCGAAAAAAAAAAAAAACATAAGCAAACAACACCTCATCAAAGAACTCGACTTGTATACGATAACAGCAACAAAAACAAATTATAATTCTTACAATTTTGCTAAATTTTCAAAAACCAGAAAAAAATCTACAAAAACAATAACAAAACACTTTTCACAAAACACCAATTTCTGCTCGCAAAATACGTTTAAGATATTTTGATTTTGTAATAAATAAAAAAAAAGTTAAAATTGCGACGCAACACACTAAAAAAAATTATTAATTTTTTTATTCTAAACTCTGACTTTTACAGCTCAATGAACCAAGCAAAACTATCCATCTATAACTATATCACACACATACACACACACACATTATGTATCGATTATTTTATAATCCTTTTTTGAATTTGTTCGATTATACATATATAGATATATATACATATATATGCTATATAAGCGAAATTCCAAGCAAATTATCTACGTATATATATACTATATGGAAAAACAAAAAAATTAAATACAATATACTATCTATATACATATAGTGAAAAAATACAAGAAAAAATACTTTAAAAAATACTAAACTATATAATTTACAAAAGGCAGATATGATGACATGTATATACATATATATATATATATATACATATATACAAATGTAATTCTTAGTCCAATTTTTAGCTGTCGAAATTGACATAATATGAATATAATCATAATAATCATAATCGATATGCATTGTATTTATATATTGTATATGAATTAACATTAATGTTAACTCTCTGTAACTGTAAAACTTAAATGCTAAATGTAAATGTTTTCGTTTTGGTATATATGTAGATCTATATACTCTACATATGTATTGCAAAAAGCAGTTAAATTGAAAAGTGTAACGAAATGTATCTCAGCTCAATGTGGGGAAGGGGGTAACAACAACAACAGCACCAGCAGCAAAAGAATAACTGTAACTGTAACTGAAAAATGGAAAATACTGAAAATATATAAATATTAGCCATTTTATACACAAGCAGCTTGCAAATTGAAGAAAACCAACCAAAAGAAAATCTCTTAAAACGAAATAAAATACAAATTTTTTACTTAACAAATTTTTAAAATACCGAATGAAGAATGTGAGAAAAGATTGAAAAAGAAAACTTTGCTACAATATTTTCAGTGTTTTTTTTTTTTTTTTATATATATACACATATATGATATATAACTGTAAAACTGTTTAGAACTGTAGTTTATAATGATAATAATTAATAACTAATAACTAAAACTAATTATTGTACATCTAGTTAACAGCAGCAGCAAAAATGATTGTTTGATTGATTGTGATTGTGAATGCATGTGTTTTCTTGTTGTTTTTTGTTTAGAAATATCTTTCGGCTTTTGTTCGTTAAGGAGAAAGAAAATGAAAGGAAAACTGCTGGGTGATAATTTATGAATGATTCAACTGATATAAATGTAAAGCATATTATATATAAATACAATTAAAAATAATATACATATATAGAGAGATTGTCTATTGTTATATGAAAACAATATTCAATGAAAGACAACAACAACAAAAAGCAAAAAGAAACAAAAATGGTTTAAGCTATGTTTCCTCTGTAATGTTAAACAGTGCTGTTAACTGTTAACTATTAACTCTCACGCTGTTAGCTCTGTCTCAGAGTTAGTTGTGGCACTGTTAGCTATTAACTGTTAATGTTGCTGTTAAATGCTTGCACTGCTGTTGCAGCTAACATTCAGACTGTTAACTTTGCTGTTAGCTGTTGGCACTGACAATGTTAACTTTACTTAATTTGCGTTTAACACATTTTTCTTTTAATTATATATTTTGTAACTTTTAGTTAAGTTTTTTGTTTCTTTTTGAACCTTTTTGTAATGTGTATTAAAATTATATTTAGCTTTAAACATATTTTGTGCAAACTGATTGATGTGTATATGTATATGAGTGTATGTTTATGTGTGTGTRTGCGTGCGTGAATGTATGTGTGTATGGATTCCAAAGCAAAATTTAGAAAAGAAGAAAACCGAAAATTCACAAAATGCAAATTTGAGCAAGACACTTTGTAACTCTGCTCACAGCCTGGCTGCATGACTTATATATAAATATATGAAACTTATATACAGATATACATATACACACATATATAGCTATGTAAGAAAGTGAAAGAGAAGAGAGCGAATGCTTGAAAGCTGATGAAAATCGCATTGAAGTCGATGATGATGATAAATAGAGCGAATAGTCTGTAAGTGTGTAGAAAATATACAACAACAAAAAAACAACAAAACAAGAAAACCAATTAAAAAAAATATATATATGAATAAAATCTAATTTTAAATTTATACAAAACAAAAAAACAGAAAAAAATCAAATGTAAATTAGAAAAAGAAAAGCAAATCAAAATGAAATGAAATGAAATCAAATCAATCAATCAATCTTGAGATTTGTATATAATATTATAATTATGCTATAATCTACTATATATATGTATATGTATATCTAACACACACAGATAAACTATATATACACACACACACATAGATACACAACCATATATATATATACAT